ACCCCCCCCCTTTTTTTTATTTTGATTTACCTAACCAAGGAAATAAGGATAGTACATAAAGAAACTTTTTAGACCTATAGAAGGAAAAGAGAAGAGAAAAAAAAGAAAACTTAAATGTCAAAAGAAATCTTTGACACAATTCACAAGTGTTACAATTCTCCCCACCTTGGATTAAATTTCGTCCTCGAAATTGTCCTTACTCACGTGAAGAGGTGAGGGTAACGCCTCTCCAGGTCCTCCTTAGCTTCCCAAGTCACGTTTGACCCTCGATGATGCTTCCATTTTACCTTTACCATGACAATCTCCCTGTTCCTCAACACCTTGGTTTTGATTTCCAAGATGGCTTTCGGTTCTTCCACGCATCGGTTGTTCTCATCGACCCGAATTTCCGACAATGGTATCACACTTTCTTCGTTCGCCAAACACTTACGGAGGTAACACACATGAAATGTGTTGTCGATTCCGGCCATCTCCGGTGGTAGTTCTAATTTGTAAGCTTGGAGTCCTACTCGAGCCAAAACTTTAAATGGTCCGAGATAACGAGGGCTGAGCTTACCACGCTTTCCAAAACGGATAATGCCTTTCCAAGGGGATACCTTAAGCATGACACGGTCGCCTACTTGGAAATCTATAGGTCGGCTCCTCTTATCTGCGTAACTCTTCTGTCGATCTTGCGCCGCCTTTAAACGTTCTCGAATACATTTCACCTTGTTGGACGTTTCTTGCATGATTTCAGGGCCGGCGAACTGCTTCTCGCCCACCTCAAGCCAACACACAGGAGTTCTACATTTCCGTCCATACAATGCTTCGAATGGTGCCATCCCGATACTAGAATGATAGTTGTTGTTGTAGGCGAACTCCACAAGGGGTAGGTGAGAGTCCCAATTCCCGCCAAAGTCGATAACACACGATCGAAGCATATCTTCAAGAGTTTGAATAGTCCGTTCACTCTGACCATCGGTTTGAGGATGGTACGCCGTACTCAAATTTACTCTCGTGCCCAATTCTTTTTGTAAGCCGCCCCAGAAATGGGAGGTGAATCGGCTATCTCGATCTGACACTATCGACAACGGTATACCGTGCCTCGAGACTACTTCATCGATGTATAGCTTAGCAAGCTTGTCTATGGGCAACGATTCACGCATTGCCAGGAAATGAGCGCTCTTTGTCAGTCGGTCCACCACTACCCATATTGAATCATGGTTTCTTAGGGTCTTCGGCAGTTTGGTCACGAAGTCCATCGTAATATGTTCCCACTTCCATTCGGGGATCTCCAAGGATTGGAGGCTTCCATAAGGTTGTTGGTGCTCTGCTTTCACTTGTAAACATGTCACGCACCTCTCTACGTAACGAGCCACATCCAGTTTCATCACAGGCCACCAATATGTCAATTTCAAATCTCGGTACATCTTGGTGCTACCCGGGTGAATGGAGTATTTAGACTTGTGCGCATCTTCTAGTAACAGTTCACGATTTCCCCCAACCTTAGGTACCCATATACGACCTTGAAACAACTTCAAGCCACGACCATCCTCCGTAAGATGCATACGTTGTTTCACCATAACCTCGCTCTTGAGATTTTGCTCCAAAAGTGCTTCAGACTGTGCCACCCTGATCCGATCGATCAGACTGGACATCACCTCGATCCTGGTAAGCACGACTTTCGTCCCACTACCGTACTCCTTTCGGCTCAAGGCATCCGCCACAACATTCGCCTTTCCCGGGTGGTACAGCAACTCGCAATCGTAGTCTTTGAGTAGTTTGAGCCAACGCCGTTGCCTCATGTTTAGTTCTTTTTGATCGAAAATGTACTTCAAACTTTTGTGATCAGTGAAAAGCATGCACTTGGTTCCATAGAGGTAATGTCGCCAAAGTTTTAACGCGAATACCACTGCTGCTAGCTCCAAGTCGTGGGTGGGATAATTCTTCTCGTGGTCCTTGAGTTGTCTTGATGCGTATGCTATCACCTTTCCTCTTTGCATTAGGACGCAACCCAATCCCATTTTCGAGGCGTCACTGAAGACTACAAAATCTTCGGATCCTTCTGGCAAGGAGAGGATCGGGGCTTCACATAGCTTCCTTTGGAGGGTTCTAAAAGCATTTTCTTGCTTCTCCGTCCAGATAAACTTCGCATTCTTCCTAGTCAATGCCGTTAAGGAAGAAGCGACCTTGGAGAAGTCTTGGATGAATCTTCTGTAATAACCTGCCAAACCCAAGAAACTTCGAATCTCCGATGGGCTCTTTGGTGGTTCCCAATTCATCATTGCCTCGATTTTGGATGGGTCCACCTTCACCCCGTCCCGAGTGACAACGTGACCCAAGAATTGGACATCTTTTAGCCAAAAGTCGTACTTGGAGAATTTCGCATACAATTTCTCTTTTCTTAACACTTCGAGAACTTCGCGAAGGTGCTGTTCATGATCCGACTCGTCCTTGGAATAGATGAGTATGTCGTCAATGAACACTATCACTGACTTATCAAGGAATGGTCGGCACACTCGGTTCATCAGGTCCATGAATACTGCTGGCGCGTTCGTCAAAYCGAAAGGCATGACCAAGAATTCATAGTGCCCGTAACGAGTTCTAAAAGCGGTCTTCATCACATCACTTTCCCTTACTCRCAMCTGGTGATATCCCSAAYGAAGGTCGATCTTTRARAAGCAACATGCTCCTTGAAGTTGATYAAAAAGATCGTCGATTCTAGGRAGAGGGTATTTGTTCTTCWCAGTTGCCTTATTGAGTTCTCTGTAATCAATACACATCCGYATGGTGCYGTCCTTCTTCTTTACAAATAAGACTRGGGCTCCCCACGGTGACGAGCTCGGTCTAACAAACCCTTTYTCAAGRAGGTCTTGYARTTGTGACATCAACTCTTGCATTTCGGATGGYGCCAGGCGGTATGGGGCTCTAGCTATAGGAGCAGTTCCCGGAACAAGATCAATTTGGAATTCCACCTGCCTATCGGGGGGTAGACCGGGCAAGTCCTCGGGAAATACGTCGAGAAATTCGTTAACCACTTTCACATCTTCAATTATCCTTTTTTCTAGTTTGGTATCCAACACGTATGCAATGAACGAGGAACACCCTTTAGCTAAGCATTTGCGCGCCTTTGCCACTGATAGAAGTGCTACGTCTCCCTTCTTTCTTTCTCCATAGATCAGCACGGCACCCTCGTCCAGCAAAGGAATTCGAATTAATTTCTTAGAACATAGGATCTCCGCTTGGTTCTTTGCCAACCAGTCMATTCCAATGATGAYGTCGAACCCGCYGATAACCATGGGTATAAGGTCCACCCGAAATTCCTTTCCCTCGATTCCCAACACGCAACTCCTAACAACCTYGCGCRCCAGAACYCTACTGCCRTTTGCTAAYTCTACGATCAAGGCTTCTTCTAAAGTACTAGAGGGCATGCGCAAATGTTGATAAAATGCATTGGACACAAAAGAWYATGAAGCACCCGAATCGAAAAGTACATGCGCAGGTACKGAGTTAACAAGGAACRTACCCGACACTACATCYGTCGATGSTTTWGCTTCTTCCGCTGTCATCTGAAAGGCTCGGCCGACTGCTCTCGGGGCATTTTCCTTTCTTATCTGACCCCCTCCCGCCTTCAATTTCGGGCAATCATTTCTGAAGTGACCTGGCTCTCCGCATCCAAAACATATGGGTCCCCTGATTGGACACTCATTTCGTGCGTGGCCCGTCTTCCCACACTTGAAGCATTTGGTGGGGGTAGGGTTGGTGCTACACGGGCCGTGATGTTTGCTGCGACATTTGGGACACCATCTTGACTCATGATTGAGATGGGTTCCGCGATTGCTGTTGCCAAAGTGATTTGGTCTTTTGACGGGTGCGGAGGGCCCTTCCCACTTCCTCTTCTCTCCACTCGACATCCTTTCTTCCCTTCTCTTAGCATAAACTGATTCCAAGACCTTGGCTTCTTCGATTGCCTCCCTCAGGGTGGATGCTCTTGAATTCCTAACCATTACCATCATGTCAGCAGGTAGCAATTTAAGGTAGGCTTTCATCTTGTCCTTCTCTGTTGGGGCCACGTGTCCCACCAAGTTTAGCTTTTCCATAAATAGCCGAGTGTAGTCTCTTACCGTCAGATTTCCTTTTCTTAAAGTTCGGAAATCTTCCTCTATGCGGTCCATCTCTTGCTCGTTGCAATAATCTTCCATTACTTTTTTCTTGAAGGTGGTCCAACTCATCTTGGTCAATTCGGTGGCCTCGATGGTTGAGATGACAATATTCCACCAGGTAAGGGCATCTGAGAGCCAAACTTCACTTTTTGCCCTTTTTCACAGTCACAAGCCCGGAAGGCTTGCTCGATCTCTCGAAGCCAATTCATGCAAGTCACGGGGTCATCCGACCTCACAAATTCCGGTGGTTTGCAACATAAAAAGGCCTTGTAGGAGCAAACTCTATCCATCTGCCTTGCCCCAACCGTTGCCATTTCTTGGGTTAGGATTCCATTTTCAGTGCCCCCGGATCCCACATTAGTTATGTTTTCGGCAACCGCTTCGTGCTTACGATGATTAGCATCTCTATCTTCCAACAACTTTATAAAGAACTCTTGTTGTTGAGTCATGGCTTTGTTCATAGCGTTCATCATTGTACCCAACATCCTTGACTCCAGGGTCTCTTCTTCCATTAGAGGGTTAGAGGTGGCAAGGTCAACTTGGGAAACATGCCCAACTCCACCGCCCAAGTTGCTTTGCCTCGGTTAAACCCTAGCGGTGGTCTGTGGTGGTTGATCCGCGGTAGATTCAGTCACCGCTTGACCTTCAGGTGAGGTATCTCGTCTACTCCGAGTATTAACCATAAAGTCTGTTTTGTACAAGAGAGTGGTAGAGAGTTAGAATAGAAGGAATATATATATATATATATATATATATATATACATAACTAACATAATACGGTACCGACACAATCATAATTTTTTTATAATAACAGTGAGTCCAAGCATGCTCATACAACAACTTACTCAAAATAGCATTAGCTAAGTGAAATTTTGAATAGGTTATACATAAGGATCCTCAACACCATCACGATAAATTCATGAATCATGCAACTCCGTTGACTCTAAAGCTCTCCTATCTTAACAGTCCCTACCCATAGCTCGCGAATTAATGTTTACAGTTTCAGCTTAAGTCTAGGCGTCTTAGTTCCTCGCCTAATTCACTTAAACTAAGGCTCTGATACCAACTTGTAACACCCGAATCTAAAAGATAATTCCAGACGAAAGAAATCTAACGAGACTCGGAAACTTGAAATAAAAATACTCTCGACAAAAGGTAATAGCAAGGTGTTTACAAAACAAATACCGAGAGGATATATAACAACCTACTAATCTAGATTTTTCTACATCTAGATTATAGACGGGTGTTTCTATCAATCTCCAAAAGTATAGTATCATCCAAACAA